AGAGTCACAGCTCACCGTCGAAATTTGAGCCTTCAAATCCATGTCTTTCCACACTTATCTGCGTTTGAATGTTAAAATGACGAATCGTCAATTTTAGATACTCTGTGATATATAGAAAAGACATATATTGAAATAGTGAGTAAAATTCCTAGTTTGAAATATTTCTAAAGGAATTATGTGATTTTCATGCATTTCTACTATTTCCGAAGACTATTTAGATATATTCCAGACTAAAATCAAGCCCCCAAAAATGATACACCTGTCCTTTAACACATGGTTCAAACTGCATGAAACAATTTCAGTGTCACAGCAAACTTTAGCGGTAACAGTTGGAAAACCACAACAATCAAAAGTCTTATGTTTTGCTTGTTGCAAATTCAATTATATCTTCAAGTAACTGTTAAATTTGAAGATGGTAAATGAAGAAATGTGTGTATAGGATATTTAAATAATATTTTATTGATAAATAACTAGAAAATCTTAAAGTAACAATATAACAATCTTAAAACAATATCATTAACAATAAACAATATGATTAGGTCATCATCTGAACAATGTTCGAAAAGGCATGGCTCTTTGAAATGTGGTAGTGTTGGATGTCGCTGGGATGGAAGACGGTATATTATAAACTGGTCGGGAAACAACTCCCGATGGTAATACTTGGGACATCAATGCTGAAGGAGACATCATACTATATTGTGTAATGTTTGTAGCAACTGGTGGAATGTAGCTAGGATTCATTGGTGGGAAAGCTGGTTTGTTGTCACGGACTCGTTTCCTCCATCTGGCACGCTTGTTTTGAAACCAAATCTGAAAAACAAAACCATCAGATGAATATTAAAACTGAATGATATATCATTTTAAAAGTAGAAACAAGTTAAATATACTATAGTAGATGTCGATTGAGAATATGACAAACTAAAAATACAATTTAGCTAAGAAAGAAGTAAATAGAAAAATACCTTCAGGTTTTTCTCTGGAATATCCAGATCTCGAGACAACTGTTCCATCACTTCAGACTCTGGATATGGCGTATCGAGAAATATTTTTTCTAATGATCTGACTTGTTGAGGACTGTAATTTGTTCTGGAATTCTTCTTGCTTGTAGTCTTCTCAGGATCAGATAATTTTCTACCAAGGTCTGTTGTAGAGATCGGTGGAGGAACGTTAGGTGATGACGAGGTGGCAGGTTGGGGACTAGAATCAGATACAAATCCGGAAGAATTTCCACTGTCGCTATCGGTAATTAGAGGTGGAGTTGTGGTAGGAGTTGTTGAATATCTTGAAGATGATGGACTTGAATCAAGATCCAAATGAGACTCAATGCTACCATCACTAGATACTGGAGACTCGATGGTAACAGAAGATTGTCTAATGAAGTTGGTTTCCAGGTGTGGTGAGTTGTAAACCTCCCATGGTTGATAAAATGAAGAAGGAAATGTAGGTTGGTAAGAACTTGTAGAGTCTATTGTATACTGAAGTTGATTCTGGTAGGGTATAAATCCAGATTTCTGACTCACATTTTCAACCTGTCTGTCCGAGGAAGATACCTGAAAATAGAAATGAAGTAATAAAAGCTTTATAATTGATATTACTATAATGATTTATCTCTGATAATAGTTTAAAATCCAACCATTAACATCATTAAATTGACATTCAAAATTTCAACTGACTTACCGTATAATTAACTGGAGATATCATTTTGAAACTAGATAATAATTTAAATATTAACCTGTATCAATAGTTTATTAATTTGTAATGTACAATTTCCAAGACAGGACAGCATTAAATACAGTTTTAGACCAATACAGAGCAACTCCTGTCTGTCAGTATTGTGACAACTCGACTAATGCTGGCATATTTAATCGAGTTAATTGGATTAATACAATTCAATCACTGATCGAATTGACATTTGATTAATGATGTAATTAACATTGATGATTCATGAATGATGAAGTTTTACTTATCTCACTTTGTTAATTTAAAACAGTAACATATACAAGCAGTCATATTTACATCTATGCTTGGTCTAATTGCTATCTTAATTTATTTTAACGATTTGTTTTTCTCGATAACTATCTATTGCTCGAGTAGATTAAAGATACTATTTGATACAAAGTTTTATCAGATGAACACTGTCCCAATTTCAAGTTATATCATTCAATTTTATTTGTCACGTTCAGTTATTTGATTCACCTAAAGACAAACATTATTATTTTATGATAGATTCCAAGAAGAAACCATTATTTATCTTTATGTATGTATAATTGGTAAATTATAAATAAATATAGTTTAAGTTAAGGAGCATCTATCACATTGAGCCATATATCTTTCTTAAATCATTAATAAGACCCTTGTGTGTACCAGCATTTAGCAACCAACCTTATAGAAGTTGTATTACATTGGAATATCATAAGCCAAAATAGGTTTTATTCAGCATTTAAACATTATATATACAATGTATAGTTTAAAGGGACATGTAAGCCATTTTTTGAACAATCACACTTTAGTCTCAGAAACTGGAATTTGTTTAGCTGTGCTAATCAGTAATAGAGTTCACAGCTCACCGTCGAAATTTGAGCCTTCAAATCCATGTCTTTCCACACTTATCTGCGTTTGAATGTTAAAATGACGAATCGTCAATTAAAGATACTCTGTGATATATAGAAAAGACATATATTGAAATAGTGAGTAAAATTCCTAGTTTGAAATATTTCTAAAGGAATTATGTGATTTTCATGCATTTCTACTATTTCCGAAGACTATTTAGATATATTCCAGACTAAAATCAAGCCCCCAAAAATGATACACCTGTCCTTTAACACATGGTTCAAACTGCATGAAACAATTTCAGTGTCACAGCAAACTTTAGCAGTAACAGTTGGAAAACCACAACAATCAAAAGTCTTATGTTTTGCTTGTTGCAAATTCAATTATATCTTCAAGTAACTGTTAAATTTGAAGATGGTAAATGAAGAAATGTGTGTATAGGATATTTAAATAATATTTTATTGATAAATAACTAGAAAATCTTAAAGTAACAATATAACAATCTTAAAACAATATCATTAACAATAAACAATATGATTAGGTCATCATCTGAACTGGGGATACATGTACGAGTTGACGTATGTTGGAAAAGGCATGGCTCTTTGAAATGTGGTAGTGTTGGATGTCGCTGGGATGGAAGACGGTATATTATAAACTGGTCGGGAAACAACTCCCGATGGTAATACTTGGGACATCAATGCTGAAGGAGACATCATACTATATTGTGTAATGTTTGTAGCAACTGGTGGAATGTAGCTAGGATTCATTGGTGGGAAAGCTGGTTTGTTGTCACGGACTCGTTTCCTCCATCTGGCACGCTTGTTTTGAAACCAAATCTGAAAAACAAAACCATCAGATGAATATTAAAACTGAATGATATATCATTTTAAAAGTAGAAACAAGTTAAATATACTATAGTAGATGTCGATTGAGAATATGACAAACTAAAAATACAATTTAGCTAAGAAAGAAGTAAATAGAAAAATACCTTCAGGTTTTTCTCTGGAATATCCAGATCTCGAGACAACTGTTCCATCACTTCAGACTCTGGATATGGCGTATCGAGAAATATTTTTTCTAATGATCGGACTTGTTGAGGACTGTAATTTGTTCTTGAATTCTTCTTGCTTGTAGTCTTCTCAGGATCAGATAATTTTCTACCAAGGTCTGTTGTAGAGATCGGTGGAGGAACGTTAGGTGATGACGAGGTGGCAGGTTGGGGACTAGAATCAGATACAAATCCGGAAGAATTTCCACTGTCGCTATCGGTAATTAGAGGTGGAGTTGTGGTAGGAGTTGTTGAATATCTTGAAGATGATGGACTTGAATCAAGATCCAAATGAGACTCAATGCTACCATCTCTAGATACTGGAGACTCGATGGTAACAGAAGATTGTCTAATGAAGTTGGTTTCCAGGTGTGGTGAGTTGTAAACCTCCCATGGTTGATAAAATGAAGAAGGAAATGTAGGTTGGTAAGAACTTGTAGAGTCTATTGTATACTGAAGTTGATTCTGGTAGGGTATAAATCCAGATTTCTGACTCACATTTTCAACCTGTCTGTCCGAGGAAGATACCTGAAAATAGAAATGAAGTAATAAAAGCTTTATAATTGATATTACTATAATGATTTATCTCTGATAATAGTTTAAAATCCAACCATTAACATCATTAAATTGACATTCAAAATTTCAACTGACTTACCGTATAATTAACTGGAGATATCATTTTGAAACTAGATAATAATTTAAATATTAATCTGTATCAATAGTTTATTAATTTGTAATGTACAATTTCCAAGACAGGACAGCATTAAATACAGTTTTAGACAAATACAGAGCAACTCCTGTCTGTCAGTATTGTGACAACTCGACTAATGCTGGCATATTTAATCGAGTTAATTGGATTAATACAATTCAATCACTGATCGAATTGACATTTGATTAATGATGTAATTAACAATGACGATTCATGAATGATTCATGCAGACTACAATGTTTGACGGGCTGTTTTCATTTACTTGTTTCAAGGTTTGCTCTAAGACAACGGTGGTGCCTTGTTTGTCGTTTGCATAGCATATGCTATTATTGATAGTTCCCATTATGGAAACATAGTTCTCCCCATCTTTATTAACCTAATCTGGAGCAGATTGACAAGCAACAAGCAACTACACACCGGGAAGAGCAATCCATATTATTTTGGTGTTTCTTTCTTACATTTTAAATATTACCGAACGTGCACAAATACTTCTGTTCTGCAGATGCCTTTTAAACAAATATCTGGAATTCATATCTTTTATTAAAACCAAAAAAAAAGAAAATTAACAAAATAGTACTACAGTTTAAGTTATTCCAAACAAGTGTTTGATAAAATATATACTTCTTATACATATTTTTCTTATTGTCTTCGTTCCAAAGTTAGTGTATCAATCAATCAGATTAAGATGTAGATCGTTTTATTTTCTATTCTATAGTTTGATTCAATCACCTTCCGTATTTTTATTTGTCTTTAACTTTTATTCAGTCGTATTTTGACCTTAATGTGTCAAAACCTATTTTAGTGCCAGCTAATGATACAGAATTGAAAGTGGACTGAAAATATGCTTAGAAGTCAATGGTTCACAGTAAATATCTCAGGAATTCTTGCATGTAATGGTAAACCTTTTATTGAACAGAGCATTTGATTGGTTGAATATTTTACTTAGTGCATAACAATTTCATCCGATCATGGATGGTAAGAGGAGTCATTCACCAAAAAAACATATTGATTTACATTTGAATCAGATGGTATCACTGAAAAATGGACCATAACATAACAATGGTACAAAATATAATACAACAAAATTAAATAAGAGAACAATTTGGACAAGATTAAGCTTTTAAATGAAATAATGAATGTGACAAACCATTAACAAAATGTCTGTATATTAATTAAAATAAGAGACAAAATATGTCCATTTAGGACATTATTTTTGAACATGGTTATATCTATCACTTGTTATATATCATCCTGTAAGCAGGAACGTAACTAATGATTCTAAGATACTCCTACTTGGCTTCTACAAATCTCTTTGATGAAGATCAGTCTAAAGCTCAATATAGTTTCTTACTTTAAATAATATTTCGACAAATGAACTAATGCTCTTTAATGAAACTGATCATGAAAATTAATGTTACATTTAAATAAACATTATACTTTGTAGGAAAATGTTACATATAACTATGACATGATTAACCCCATAACCAAGTTTTACAATATAACTTATTAATGTTATCACTTATAACATATATTATGTACATCAACTATTTACAGGGAACAAATATTTACATAAGTATTATATCTACAAAAATAACTTTGAAGAATCTTGGTTTCGAATATTTTCAAAGCTCTGATGTGTTATTTCTAATAAAGATAAAAAGGGATTTAGAAGAAGTTTCTATATGGGTGTCACCAAAATTCTCCATTTTAAGAAAATCATAACAATCATTAGAGGAGTATGTCAAATGGACATCATTATCTGGTCAAAGTACATCCTTTATCACTTTTAATTTTGACAAGGTCAAGGCCTCCAGAAATTATGATGACATCAAATTCATCAAAGACCTCACATATCTATGCATACCATGTTTCTCAAAATCTGAACAAAACTGCTTCTATCATGTTCAAAGCAATTGTGGACAGCAACCAAAAATCAATAATCCACTTGTCACTGATATCTGAATGTAAACTGTATCATCTATGCATACAGAACCAAATAATTCGATGTAGATGCACACTACCAACAACAAATATTTCTTAACCAAGATTCTTCTAGTATGGATTTTAGTATTATGCATTGTTCGGATAAAATATCAATAAATAATAAAATGATGAAGAATATACTGTGATATCATTTAAATTCACCAGGGTTTAATTTTCGTGGATCATTCAATATGCGAATTTACATGCTCACGAAAAACAAAATAAATCATTTGCTTGAACATTTGCAAACACTGGTTTGAATAATAATAGTGTATATAACAATAAGAATAATGTCTATAATTAGTTCAAAATTACAATAAGTAGTAAAATTAAAGAATTTTGCAGAAGGCTGGAAAAAACAACTTGGAAAATTTACTTTCTCACAATTTTAATCCTCACAAATATGGCTAAGAGAACCAATCCAAGAAATTTAGTGCCTGAAAATAAATGATTAAAGAGTATATTTTATCGGAATGTATCCTCATCACTGTCATATTTATTACTATTGGATTGTCTGTGATTAGTGGTAGATGTTAACGATGATTCTTCATTATCAGACCTGAAATATTAAATAATAACTACATTTCTTACAGGACAACTAACTGTTTCAAATTATTTACCACATTAATTAGGAATTAGTCGGGGTTAGTTCAGGAAACAATCAGTAGAAATCATTTATACCAAAAAAAAACAAGTAGTATCACTAAGAAGAAATAAAAAAAAAAAGAAATTTGTGTTTTAAATTGTGTCCTTACCCATAATGAATTTCTTCATCTGAATCATTTAACATGGATAAAGCTGGATTATCTTTAAAATGGGTTTCTGAAAATAGAACAATATATTTGAAATTTAAATGAAAGCTGATCAAGTGACAATGAATATTACTGAATGTAAATACCATTAGATTTATCATGATGAATATTAGAACCAGTGAAGTATTTGGTTGAGTAAACTGAAACAAAATGACCTTGCATTATGTTTCTTTTTTATATTAATTATAGATCTGCATCCAGTCAATAGTAAGTGGCTCAATGTTTAGCTTTTAAAACTAACTCAGAACCTTGAGGATGACATAGTCCCTTTAATCAAATATTTATCACAGACTTGACTTGGTTAGAAAATTGCTGAATATTATATACAAGAAAACTTTACTAATATAACTTATATAAAGAAATGACATATACATACCATACACTGCATTTTTAGATGGTGAATAAACAAATGCCATGGTAAACATATATAAATTGAGAAGACCATAAAAGGAGACAAATTCTGTGGAATTTTCATAATTTGTAGAGATTTCGGAGACAAAGTTATCATTAAGTACACCACTACCAAATCTCATCACAGTAATAACAATACTAATAGATAATACTATTACCATTAACGCTGTCATAAATTTTAAACGTAAATCTGAAAAAAAATCAGTATTTCATTCAAGATGATAAAACGCAGCATTATTCTTTCTAAATGAGTTTCCACTTCATAAAATTACATAGAGTTGATCAGTTTTTCAACCTACATAAGCTCATAAGGATGGTCAATGCCATGCAGTGTGCAATTACAAAAAATTAGCCACTGCCTAATTGATATGAACAGCTTGAGAATTGCCTGATAATATGAATCTTGGTACTGAGGTTGGTAGAAAGATAATGCAAAGTCTGTCTGTTTGTCATTAGTTCTAAGAAAAGACAGAACGTGTAAATGAACCTTACCAAAGAAAGGCATGGACCTTAACTCTGCATATGCTCTTATTAATAAATAAGCTAAGTACAATAAATAGAATCCACCAACAACAAAGAAAAATATTTTGAATCCCTGAAATGTAAAATTACTTATTTTGTGGATTGGTTGAAAGTCTTGTGACCTTGAATGTGTCATCATTCCTTATTATTTAGTTGACGGTTGTAAATATGTACAGATTATCCAGAAAAGATCAATGTCATGAGGTTTGGCTAGGGACCAGCTAGGGACCAGCTAGTAGAAAGCATCCTTGTAAACCCTAGTTATTATCTTAATTAATTGTTGATGTCCAAAATGTACGTCAAATTTACCTTAAAATTGCCCAGATCTAATCTATAGTAAAAGGTGGGATCCTGTAGTTCATTGTATTCCTGCCACGAGGCTAGAGTCACTGCTGCTAGCCATATTAAACCAACAACTAATAACTTAGGTACATAAAATCTAGTAAACCTTCTATCAGTCTGAAATGAAGATAGAATTGACATTGGTATAAACTTGGCTACCAGTTAAACAACACTCATTTTTTGGGGGAATTGTGCAATTAAACCATCTGACTCAATTTCAACCATCTACAATTATCAGGAAATTGACATGCTCAAATAGATATCATCAATTTCATCACATTTCTGCCATAACAACATTCAACTTCTACAGCACAACTAAATTGAGATTTTTCTGAAAACTTCTATTTATAGCTAAAATTGACTCAATCAGTTGGTAAGGCAAATATGACAATGAAATGTGTATCATGTAAGAGATAGAAATATGTGCACTAAGGGTCTTTTATAATATACATCACAATGTAAAAGTAACAAATCTATGTAATTTTTATGCATGGGCCTTAAAACACTATGTTATTATCTGTGCATAGGCCAATATACAGTAAGAATAACAGTTAAAAACTATAGTGTTTAAAGGGAGATAACACCAATTTCAAGACCACAAAAATCTTACCTGGCGTACACCATGATACAAACACAACCAAAATAATAACAAGGCACATAAAAAAGTAGCTTGAAATATACCATCAAACATACCAGGTACCCAACTATTGACTAGAAATGTCAGTGGAAATATAGGATCTGAAACAAAAAAGATCTAATTTACTCTTTGAAGGTCTTCTACAGGCAAATCATAATTTGTCAGAAGGCAAAAGTTTTCATGCATTTTGAGGGTCAGTTTACATGAAACTCAGATTATAGAATGGTAATCTGAAAATTAACATTAAAAATACCAAAAAAATAATCAAAGTGTGCCCAATGGAAGCTTTGCCATCATCTTGAAGGGAATTATGGGACATTAATGGTTTAATTCAAATCAAACTCGACTGAACTTGTGATACATATAAATTTTCTAAGATCATGGATCAGTGAAAAAAAAACAAAAAAACTTTCTTGATTTGGATTGTAATCAAACAGGTATACAAAGAAATTTTTGACTCACCATCATACAATAGTAATAGTGGTAGTAACACAGACATCCATTTTTGTTCTATAGACCAATCTCTTAATGAAAACTTTCTTAATGAATGGGCAAATATACACTGAAAGAAAAATACTATCCATAAAGTATTTTATTTTCAAATAAAAACACAAGAGAAAGTCTCTTTGAAAAGTAAAGGTCATCAAAATAGCAAGCGTTTCTAGAATTTTTGTTGAGATTTTTTATTTGGTCAAGTATCCCTGCACCTTTCTGATTTGCTGTCAGACATCCGTGATTCAAGTAATTTGGAAAAAATCTATTATGACTTCACTATAGCAAAATCATTTGAATTAAAAAGTATTTGCCATAATGATGCGTTATTCATTCATTCTGGAATTACAATTAGATCCCAATACATAAGCACAAGCTGAAGGCACTCTTTGAATATCCAAGACTGTAGGTAATGTATACTTACTGTAGCAAAGAAAGACATAACTAAGAATATAAATCGTATCCAAATCTCTATCTGTGTAAATGCTGTATTGTATGTTTTAAACTGAAGCAAAAATAGAAATAATTTACAGACAAAATTAAGACATTTGCCAGGCATTGCTACATCACTTATATTAGCCAGAAGATCTAAAAGGGAATTTGCACATTCTGAAACAAAAATAGTTAAATAAAATCTTGACTAACAAAATACTTACTGAAAATTCTATGTCTTTAATACCAAACTTAGAATGTTCTAAACCATAAAATGTAATAGTTATTATGTATTTAGCAAAATCTAAATAACCAAGATGCATTAATATCATGTCTTCACAATTCTGAAATAGACAAGTCAATATACCAAATAGTAAAATCATCATTTCAGAAAGGTTACAAATCTTGATGGTCAGACTTATCCATGACCACACAGAGCACACTAATATTGTATCTGTATCATGTATCACATGTGTCTTGCCATTGTTAAACATAGACCCGAGCATGTCAATATTTTAATGTGGTTGTAAAAAACTTTGAACAAAAAAACCTGAATTAAGATTAGAAATTGCTTTCTTTTTTGTAAACAAATATTAAAGGGAAATTTTTTTATGGACCAATCATACTTTAGTCACAGAAATAGGAATGTTTTAGCTTAGCCAATCAGTAATAGTGTCCATAGCTCCTGAATTTTGAGCCGTCAAATCCATGTGTGTCCAGAATTATCCGCATTTGAATGTTAAAATGACGAGTCGTCAATTAAAGATACACTGTGATATATAGAAAAGGCATATATAGAAATAGTGAGCAAAATTACTAGTTTGAAGTATTTTTAAAGAATGATGCAATTTTCGTACATTTCTAGAACCGTACTTCCCAAATATACCCCAACTGTCCCTTTAAGAACACCTAATCTGAACATAAAAATGCAGATTTAAACAATATGGATCATATATCTTTCTGTTGATGACTCTACTTACCCGCTATGTCGTCTGTAGAAAGAATTAAACAATCATGTAAATCTGTATTTTTAATCAGTGAAGAATAATAAAATATCAAACCTTTTGGCATTTTAATCTTCTAGTTCTATTATGCATGATACCACTTAGTAGGGGATTATCTGCTTTTACTACTCCCTGATCATCACCATCTATTCCTCGTATCCTAATACCCATAGTAAATGACTTCTCAAAATTAGTGTCTGAAAGTTTTAATTATAATTATAAGTGTATCATGAAAGACTGTGGACCACATAAAACTAATTGAAACCAGCATTTTGCAGCATTAAAACCAAGATTTATGAAAATTTTGGTTAAAACTAGAGGTGCTTCAGTATTTTTGATGCTCAAGATCTAAAGTAATACAATTCAAGCATAATTCTTTGTTACATGATTAAAAAACAATCAAACTTGGTTGAAAAGTGACACTTCAAACTAAGGAAGGAAAACAGACAGATGCATCCACAGTGGCAACCAAGAAAGGTATAAGAAACAGCTGTCACCTCCTGATACAACACAAAAAAACTCAAAAGGAGGCTTTCCAGGCCTAACTTTTTCAGATTAAGAATGGTGTTTGAGTTCATATTCTATTTCAATGCTATTTCTATGCTGAGTATACTTTTCAATAAGCTTGTATCATAATAACAATATAGTGATAAATGTATCTAGAACTATAATATTACAGTGAAAGACAATACCTCCGTCATTATCTGTGATTATATGTGATACCAGCCATAATTGTTGATGATATGTTGTCATAGGTGGTGATGGTAGAACAAATGGCCCTGACTGAAGAAAGAAACATAAAAAATAGGCTTGTATCAGAGAATCTTCATGAAAGAAAAAATACAACAAATAAACAATAATAAACCCAATCCAAGAATGACATCACGTGATCTGAAAGCTTGACATGTCCAGTCAAATTACTCAGAACTGAAATGCTTGGATCGTTTGCAGTGGTAAAAATGCTTTAAACCTAATGACCTGAAAATCCTTCTCTATTCTTAGAGGTATAGTGGGTATCAATTGAATTAGTTTGGCATCCTATAGCTCTTTTACCTTTAAGTCTTTTGGCTTTGGAAGTAAGGTAGAAACATTGGTATTGACTGTCTCTATTATAGGAGGACCTATTCATATAAAATAAGATTAAATTGAATATCAAGGAAAGACATTTTCAATAAATTTGAGCTTTATACTGTAGATTAAAATTTATTGATAAAACTTTCAAAACCTGTACTTTAATTCAGTGGCACAATACTACATTTACATTTCACTGGTAGCTCACTGCAACTGTATCAAAGTCTACGTGCAAGTTAAACATTAACACATTTTACAATTGAAAAAAGAATCATTACATTTTTTAAAATTATGTATTTTGAATTATGATTTACCTGCTAAACCTACTAATAAACATATACCAAAACAAGCAAAAAACGTAACAAATACTAAAACAAACTGCCTCTTATTGAGAGAATATAGACGCATCTGTACAGACCTGAAATATATAATACAGTAAGAATTTGATACACATTATTATCAAGTGTTCGATTATTGTTTGCTTTATGAACAGTAGAAGAAAAGGAAAAATTTATGCCTCGTCCTATGCATTAGTAATTTTACACCAGTCAGCTACCTTTTAAAAAATAATAGCTGGGATGCTTCAAACTTTTGAAAGCAGTAACATTGAAGCAAAAGTTTTTAAACAATTTTTAATACAAAATTGGCAACAGGATTAGGGGTTAGGCTTAAGAGGTTTTAGAGGTTTGAACCCCCGAAAACAGTACTGTACAGCTTTTATACACATTTTCATATATTTCATTTGCTCATTTTTTAAAACAAACCAAGGTAGTTCATAGGCAAAATAGATGCCATGGCACTGTAAGTGTATCCAAGAAAGGGAGCTTTATATTTTCTTTACTTTGAGCGCCACACCAAGACACCTGCAGTAAGATATAAACAGGAGGCATAGTGACATGTGTAGACATAATCTTATTGATCTTACAAGGTTGAAATATGTCACATAGACCACAAGCATGTGAGTCAGAGAGTGTTAGTGGTGACATCTGGTTTCAACACATTAAATCATTGATTAGATATGCTGTTAACAGATGGATTAAATCTTTAAGTAATCACAAAGGATATATGAAATTATCATTTGATTATTGAAGTAAAAATATATAATCATATCTTTCAACTAGAAAACTTCAAGTCATATCAAGGTTTAAGTTTAGCTTTTTTCAAAAATATAACTTGTAAATTTGTAAATGCACATAGAATGAGTATATGGCCTTAGCCCTTTGCACATTTCGTGGATACTGTGCCTTCAGTTAACAAGTCAATGCACCAGACCCAAAATGATTTTATATTTTGGGGGATAGGACAGCTAATTTAGAAAGGGATAAAGGGGTCTGTTATCCCAGATCAGATGTCGACTTGCTAAGAATTTCCATATGTGACTTAAAAAGTGCCAAATAAATATTATCAGTTTCTATAAGCTTATGAAAAGTTCATATAGAATTGATAAAAGTCATGAAGTGGTATTAAGTATTTCAGGAAGGTGGAAATCGAACACCACCCACCGGACCCACCATATATATATATATATATAGTTATATATTAAGTAAGTCTGAAGACCTTAATTCAAGAGCTTAACATAAACATTAAGAAATAAGTCAGCAAGGACAACTATTATGGATATACTACTCCTTTAATTTAATTCTGCAACGTTTCAATTCACATACAGAAATCTTTATCAAGCATAACAATTAATAATGGAAATACAGAATAACAAAATATATATATATAGTAAATAAGATTAACCAACCAAAAAATTCATTGGCCAAATTGTTCACAATTTCAGTTTTTGTACTCTATACAGGTTTTATATTATTTAAAGAACAATTCATTCTAAGTCAGCTTATAATCGTTAAGGATCAGCTTAAATAATAAACCTTGGGATTAACCTATCTTTGTAACAAAAATACTCTCATGAATAGTAGATCATATAATGAGATATGCCTAAGGCTTTAATTTCTAAATCTTTAAATAAGCAATGGTATTGAAAATAATTAGTACCCATATATCATAGTTAATTAGTAACAATTGACTTGACTGTATCCAAAATCTCATATTAAAAAAAAATAACCAAATAGTGCTTTCAATAAATTTCACTTAAACTTAAATTAATTACATATAGGTACTATTACAAATACATTATTATATTCCTGATGATGGTGTGAGAACCACATTGAAACATTGAAGTAATAAATATTCTAGAAGTATCTATCCATAAATTGTCTTATTTATAAATACATGTGGTCAAGATCTGATTTGAAATACATAGAATCAGAAAGATTAACCAGACCAATATACACTTTCAACAATCAGTTAGCGTGTATGTATCTTTTTTCATGGAACATCAACACCTATTAAAGGTGAAAGGTTTATTTAAAATCCCATCTTGTCAACCAATATTAATATGATAGAATATCAAATTTCATAACTAGTAAGTACACCTAACAGAATCATTATATTTAGAGGAATATTTGCAATTCAGTGATGTCAAAATTGAAAAATCTACTTCGTTTTAATTAGTGATAGATTACATGACTTCCAAGTGCTTTACTGACACGGCTAATTTATTGTTTTGGTTGTCTAAAAACATATTGATATTGGTCAACATGAATGGAGTTTTCAGTACTACTTTTCTGCACCTTATGTGCTAATGAACATGAGCAACGCCAAGTTGTGTCAAAAGTCAACTTCAGTGCTTAACCCCAGGCCCTTGAATATTTGGCAATGTGGAGAAAACAGTGTCAATGTAAAAACCTTGGCACTATTTTCTCCACATTTAACCTATATTTTACTAATATTGACAGAACTTCAAGGGCCTGTGGCTTAACGTTCAGAACTCTCCACGAATCTCCACTGATTTTGATCTGTGGTTGCTGAATGTTGAGTCAATCCAATCAATGGTATTGAGACTGAAGTGAAAACTGAAAGTGTCTGTTTTCTACTTCGTTATTGCATATTTTTACATCGAACCAACTTGACAGTTGCATAAAACTAATCTTGGACTACTCCATTAGTCAAATTATAGTTATTTTTCAAGTATTTAAGTCGTCTAAACGATCATTTAGGAAAAAACTTACGATTCTATTTCTCGAGGCATGTTGACACGAACACCGAGGTTATGTTGTCAATCCGGTTTACTTATTACGCATGTCCTTATTACTGGTAACTTCCGGAATTTGCATTTTGATAGTCCGATAAACTCCATCCCTCGCCACAACTACTCTAATTTTACAAAATAAATTTAATTTGATTCGAATACCCCTTTCAAATGGCTAGTTTAAGCAAGACTACGCCTTGATGAAAAGAAAAGTTTTGTAAGTTTATATCTAAAATAAAGACGAGAGAACGAATATGGTATAATTTTAGATATATTATCTTAACACAGGAGATAGGCCTAGGCCTTTTAATTTAGCCTACCACACACAAAGATTCCTAAAGTTATTTGCGAATTTTACGACTCATTGATTCGCAATTGCTCGCAAAATTATTAGGACGTTTTTGTGTGGAATTTAGAATTCAACATGAGTTTTCGGTTTAATAGAAACCTTCACAATCTTTGCGGCAATCATTGTTTATTCCCATTGTTTATTAGGCTGTACTATGGCAAAACTCTTATCAAATTAAATATAGTGGTTGTCACATTTGATTTTGAAATCCAATTTTTTTTAGATGTAGGCCTGTCCTCGAAAACTATCAGTAATCTACAATAAAATTATAACTTACAATATTACAGTGTATAGTTTATTTTCTGTCCTATGTGTTGTACTTTAGCTACCCATAGCAAATTTCAGAATTAAAGTCGTTACTGAAATAATGTTTAAAACGGTATGAAAATTAATTGGAATCATTTTCATTTCTTTTTATTTGATTATAGAGGAATCCGATGCCGAATTTCGGGGTAGGCCTAGCTGTTCTGTTTTCCAACTTTGCGTTAGGCCTACCATATGAACGAGAATGACAAAGCAGAACTTCGTGACTTTAGTGAATCCTTGACGGGAGTTAGCCTATGCTCTGTTACCTGTTACTCTGTTTCTGTCCTGAAAAATTCAGGGAATTTCCGACTATCCTAGTCTAATTCAGTTTAAATATTTGATTGAATTTTGCATTTAAAAAAACAACGCATCTAAAATTCATTCTGTATTAAAGATCTTAATAAAAAGTTCTTTTTTTTTGCTTCATTAAGAAACCAAAAACAAACAGTTGTTAAACTACACTATTTAAATCGATCCTTCACGATAGATGAATGAATTATTGATAATATAAGATAGACAGATTGTAATAGAGAACTCAATGAATAAATAAATATAAAATATTATTTACCTTTCACATCTATCATGGTGATAGGTTGGAGCTATATGTTGAGCGAATGCACTGAAAAAATCCGAAAACTGCGAGAGAAAGGCCCTAATTTTGTTCGGCCATCCTGGATTGGAAAACGTGAAAGCGTATTTATCCATATTTTGTAAAATCACCGAAATTCCAGATCAAAGAATTATCTGATTGGACTATTCTAGACTCAAGATGCTATGAATAAATCTTTATTTTACACGTCCATTTCGATGGAAAAATTCAGTTCTTTACGTCGCAAAAACATCCAGTGTGATTCCTTTACGCCATTTTGCTTCAACCATTCCTGATAATCATATTAATGCAGTTCAAGACAAACCATAATAGACGTCTGCTAAAAATCGATATTTATCCTCGATTCCGGCAGAATAAGTCACGTGATAGGATTTCTGTCACTATGACAATCTGGTATTGACACAAGGCTTGACAGTGCTCAGATCATAATGTAATGTTAGTTTGATTACTTGCTAATTAGAGAAAATGTCTCATTTACTAATGAACTACTTACTGACCAAAAAAACGACATATTTTTCTTCCTATAATTGCTTAGCGAAAAACAATTGTTATATGGGACTTATCAACCTACAATCCGCACTAGTTTCAATAATATGTCATTATGACAAAATGTGAAAAACATCCGATTCGTCGTTCGTTGCTTTCTCTGAAAGTATTAAAGGCTAACACTTATATTGCTGCGAACGTCAATATTAGGTGGAGATTAAATATTAGGTGTAAAACCCTGAGATATTATTTTTAAAATCCAGGGTATTACAAGTACATAATTCATATTCAAAATCACGCGTTGATATTCCTGATATGATATGTAACTTAAGAAGGTATAATCAAATATATTCTGATGGTCGGCTGAATTGACGACGTTTGTAGATACGTTTGTAGGCCTAGATACACTCCTTTAACGCCTCTTCCCGAGAATGCTTTATAGCCTATTTATAAATAATAGAGGTTATGTTGGTTAGCACTATCAGCTGCAAGTTGAGTTCGAATTTTGCGTGGTATTGCATTCTACATAGGATTCTTGGGACCTGGCCCGTTGTCTAGCACCTTACGAACGGTTAGTTTTCGATAGATTTTACAGGTTAGAGGTACCGGTACCATTGAGTTAGACACTAGGTGGCGCGATAGTGAAGTAGGATAAGCGTCTTTGACGTCTGCTGCCGTAGTAGTAGTGCGTTTACTAATCTTATTAGAATCCATAAAATCCACACCAAGACATGCTATAGGGCCTACATATAATAAAGTGAAATTGAATTTGCTTTTTAACAATATTTTAAAATATTTTTTATCGGCATGCGTTTACTGAAAAACGGCAGTTTGAAGTTGATTTTGGGGGAAATATCAATTTTACACACAAGTTTCAAAAAAATCTATATGTTCATCCATTTTGCTAAATTTGCTGTTTTTTTCGATGCAGCTCAACAATTCTTGCGAAAATTGTATACTAAGAGTGGGTGTCTTGTGCCACGCCAATTCAACAAGACTTAAGTTACTATCGAGCGTCGGTAACGATATATGTGTGGATATTCCAATTGATTCCCTGTGTACTTACAGTACGAATTCTAGTTAAAATCCACACAAAAGGTAGTGAAAATCATCTAACCTTGTTTCTTAGTTAAGTCATTGTCAGAACTCTTTATTAAGGATAAGTACTAGTCAAGCTTGACAGGCAAGAATATAGATGTCTGAATACACGTCTGTATTCAGAGTCTATACCAGTCGCATCTGAGATGTCCTACCTCTCTACAGCACCACAATACTAATTAATGATGACAGAAGTTTCAAAATCTTACAAATAGTAAGTCTAGCTCACTGGTTTATGATCAATTAGAGTCTCGATGGCGCGAGTTGCGCCCCCTTTTCCATATTCATTTTTTCCAATTCCAAATCCTTGAAGGGTTTTATCATATACAGAAATATATTGACAATGTCGGGGCTATAATTACAGCCCGACGATCATTGCTTATCTTACATAACCCAAGCTATTTCTATAATGGCATTGGTCATACTGAATTATTGTTGCTGGTAAAACCAGGCTAGTGGTTGATGGACCACTGGCTTACAAAGGTGTTGTTATTGGGTCACAGGTAACACGAGGTATATGCAAATTCCAGATTGTTGTTAATGGACCACAGAATTTATTACGTTAGTTTTAGGCCTACTGGATTGTACCAGTTTTAGAGCTATAGGCTATAGTTACTGAGTCATTTTGGTATTAGACCACTATTTCAATTGAGTTTATTGATGTGAAATTGTCAGACGCCTTTTCTGAAGCGATCAGTCAGACTTACAGCGTTGACTCTTTATGTCTACATGTCCTTCGACTTGACTCTCGTCAGAATCTCAATAATATTCTCTACTGACAACAGAAATTTAAATTCTTGTTGAATAAAAACACATTTCATATCTTTTAATTTTAAGATATACACAATAGAGTAATGTTCATTACACTCTTCTAAACCTGAAGCAATTAATTAGATTATTTTTCTTTTCATGTTTTAAGTTTGTACGCCACCAATTTCAACCCTTTCTTCTTGTCTCCTATCTACAAATATATTGCAAAACAAGAGCTTATTATTTACCAAGTATATCATCAATACCCACTGTATCTGAGATGGATGTAGCACGAAAGGTGCGTATGTCAATTGGGAATCCTTGTTGGATGTTGAATCAATCCGTCCCCTATCCAGTTTAGCAAAAAATAGCATCATCAATCTTTATAGCCATTCCTACAGAGGGAGAATTCCAAATATATAAAGACTTAAATCTGTCCAGTTACAGCCAATAATAAGCTTTAGACAATGTAAATGATCACATCAAATATTATAATCGGATGAAGACAATATGGCAATAACTCAAAAAATGTTCATCGAATATTCGTCACATTTGAATCAGTCCAAGATCTTATCAATATATATGACCAAGATTCATTACAATCAATTGAAAATTGTAGTCTCTATTGTGTTCACAACAAATTTAACATGTTTTTCCTAAGTCAAGGGAAATAATTCAAAAATTGTTCATCAAAGAATCATCTTATTTGAACTTGACTGAAAATAAATCATTACTCCAAATTTCATTAAAATCAGATGAAAACTGTCGTGTCTATTGCGCCCATGAATACGCTTCTTATGTATTATAGCATTATCATTCCTTCAGCTTTATTCCTAATATATGTTATAACATTATCATCCCTCGGATTCTTATCATACCATAAAATTATCATTCCTTCAGCTTTATTCTCATTTTATGACCACCATTCTTTAATCTTTATTCCGATCATAATCTAATATAACAGTATCTCATGTCTTGTTTTATAATTATCATTCATTCAGCTATATAATATTTCTATCATATTATATAATTATCATTCCTTAAGCTATATTTCTATCATATTATATAATTATCATTCCTTCACTTATATTCATATCATATTATATAATTATCATTCCTTCAGCTATATTTCTATCATATTATATAATTATCATTCCTTCAGCTATATTCCTATCATATTATATAATTATCATTCCTTCAGCTATATTCCTATCATATTATATAATTATCATTCCTTCAGCTATATTCCTATCATATTATATAATTATCATTCCTTCAGCTATATTCCTATCATATTATATAATTATCATTCCTTCAGCTATATTTCTATCATATTATATAATTATCATTCCTTCAGCTATATTCCTATCATATTATATAATTATCATTCCTTCAGCTATATTCCTATCATATTATATAATTATCATTCCTTCAGCTATATTTCTATCATATTATATAGTTATCATTCCTTTCAGCAATATTCATATCATATTATATAGTTATCATTCCTTTCAGCTATATTCCTATCATATTATATAATTATCATTCCTTCAGCTATATTCATATCATATTATATAATTATCATTCCTTCAGCTATATTTCTATCATATTATATAATTATCATTCCTTCAGCTATATTCATATCATATTATATAATTATCATTCCTTCAGCTATATTTCTATCATATTATATAATTATCATTACTTCAGCTATATTCATATCATATTATATAATTATCATTCCTTCAGCTATATTCCTATCATATTATATAATTATCATTCCTTCAGCTATATTTCTATCATATTATATAATTATCATTCCTTCAGCTATATTCATATCATATTATATAATTATCATTCCTTCAGCTATATTCCTATCATATTATATAATTATCATTCCTTCAGCTATATTTCTATCATATTATATAATTCTATTCCTTCAGCTATATTTCTGTCATATTATATAATTATCATTCCTTCAGCTATATTTCTAACATATTATATAATTATCATTCCTTCAGCTATATTCCTATCATATTATATAATTATCATTCCTTCAGCTATATTTCTATCATATTATATAATTATCATTTCTTCAGCTATATTTCTATCATATTATATAATTATCATTCCTTCAGCTATATTCCTATCATATTATATAATTATCATTCCTTCAGCTATTATATAATTATCATTCCTTCAGCTATATTCATATATTATATAATTATCATTCCTTCAGCTATATTCATATCATATTATATAATTATCATTCCTTCAGCAATAATTCTATCATATTATATAATTATCATTCCTTCAGCTATATTTCTATCATATTATATAATTATCATTCCTTCAGCTATATTCCTATCATATTATATAATTATCATTCCTTCAGCTATATTTCTATCATATATAATTATCATTCCTTTCAGCTATATTTCTATCATATTATATAATTACCATTCCTTCAGCTATATTCCTATCATATTATATAATTATCATTCCTTCAGCTATATTCATATCATATTATATAATTATCATTCCTTCAGCTATATTCCTATCATGTTATATAATTATCATTCCTTCAGCTATATTCCTATCATATTATATAATTATCATTCCTTCAGCTATATTTCTATCATATTATATAATTATCATTCCTTCAGCTATATTCATATCATATTATATAATTTTCATTCCTTCAGCTATATTCCTATCATGTTATATAATTATCATTCCTTCAGCTATATTTCTATTATATTATATAATTATCATTCCTTCAGCTATATTCCTATCATATTATATAATTATCATTCCTTCAGCTATATTTCTATCATATTATATAATTATCATTCCTTCAGCTATATTCCTATCATATTATATAATTATCATTCCTTCAGCTATATTTCTATCATATTATATAATTATCATTCCTTCAGCTATATTCCTATCATATTATATAATTATCATTCCTTCAGCTATATTCATATCATATTATATAATTATCATTTCTTCAGCTTTATACCCAATATGTAAGCTATTCCAATACATTACATTACTTCTTTCGTATTATCGATTGCAGACATTTGCTTAAAAATATGAACAATAAAGATTAAGTAAATAAATAAAACCTTACCTAAAGAGCTTGAATCAATCAATTTTCAATTATTCATGAAATGACATGTTTTCTGTTATGTTGCTGACATGACAAGAAGACGTGAACCCTGGGATGTCTGCAGTCACAATGAAGATATAATATAGGTGTTGAGAGGTCTCTGCCTTACACTGATTTCAACTCACTCCAAAGCTATAAATATCACCTTTGTTTAAGTTTAGAAAACCCTTAATACCAATGAACAAATTTCATTGTTAATCTTCAAACTCCTGGTCAAGTTCAGCTTAAACTTCAAACCCCAAAGTGAAATAGTTTTTAACTAAACTGTTCTCACAGACTCTTAAACCTTTAATATTTCATTTAAAGGCGATATCCCAGATGGATATTTCAGAAAAATTTATCTAGAGTTTAAAACTGTTTTCAAAGTGGCTCAGGTTCATTACATTGTTGACTAGAGTAAAATTTAGTACCAAGGGCCAAGAATAAACAGACACAACCGGTGGTCTTGTAGCGGAGTCAGCCAAATAGATTGTAATCCCAATTGTACACTGTGCACAGTTACAATAGCCTGGTATTATCATTGGCTCAGTAATGATAGTCTGGTACTACTACATGTGGCCCACTTTCAATAACCTGGTACGTCTCTGAATACTAAATGGAGTTATATTATAGCCAAAAGAACTGGACGTCGGATTTTAATTCTGAAAAAATGATAACGATCGCTGAAATTAAGTAGACCACTATATCCTTTTCGGGAAGAAACAACTTGTACCAGATTGAAAAATTTTATTAACTGTTTATGAAAGGCATGCGTATCAAAGACAAGTGTACAATATAACCGTTGCATAATGCTGAAGTTATGCATTTCCATGCTGCATTTCTGCATAAACTTACGAGAAAATACTGCTTGCAAGTCCATAATGCTGATGAGATTAAGCCATACGACTATATTTCGACATAACATGTATTTAAGATATATTTGTATATTAACACCAAACATAGTTAAATAGCATAAATAATAAACATTATTACAACATTGTGGTGTATTCAGTCCTCGCATAACTCTACAACCAATCCAGCAATAAGATATTGAAAAAGGCAATATTTAATGCTGCTTTTGATATATTGTCGAGAATGGTTGCAAAATTTGAACGACGAGATGAATAAATACGCCTTTGGTATAATATTTCACACAGATCTATAATAATAATAATAAATACATTATCTATATACAATTAATAGTAACACCTAGTTGAATAATATTTCAAATTTGGCAAGCATTTGCCGACTTGAGTTTAGTTGTGTACTCATTAAAGAAACACGGCTGTATATTAGATTTGATACTCGGAGAAAGTGAAAAATCTATGCTATAATGTTTATCACATTCAAATATATCAAGATTGAAGCTCAAATGCTTGCCAAATTTTTCAGTTTTAAAAATCTATGTACAATGTTTTCCCCTTCCAATAGCTCACAATTATATAATATGAAATAGAGTGATAAAAGCACCTTACTCCAAAATCAAATTAATACTGAATAGATTGTTCGTTTTCTTATACCAAATTGTATCATGCTCATAAGATCCCAGAAAATGACAGTTGTACGAAATCGACAATAAAAATACACAATGTTCGGAATTCCATTTATCAAATATTCAAAATAGTTTCAAAAGTATACAAAATGGGACAAAAATAAAAATTTCGAAAAGAAATTTGTGATTTGATGTTATATTTACGTTTTATATTAAAATAAATCATGAAATTTAAAGCTGAGCAAAAACAGAGTTACATCCCTTGTTACAAAACGGTGCATGATGAAGATTTTGTTCCTTTACCACTTGCTAAATCTTTTTCAATTCGGATAATTTCTTGAACACCATTGTACATTTCCTTAACGGCGTCGATTTCAGAGATACCAAGTCTTCTCTTGTTAGAGATATCGTAAACACCACCAACAGATTCTGTATGTTCTCCATGGATACCTGTAAAACAAACAACAACATTTATTAAAATTAGGATTTCAGACGTTTTTTTGTAATGGAACAAATATAACTCACTTTGTGACTCCTTTGCAGAAAGAATTGGAATAATACGAAATATAAACATACCACGAGCTTGAAGCTTCAATTTATCACAGATATGTTTAAAATCTTTCTTGGCAGCCAAATGTGGTATTTTAATATGGACACTAGCTCTGAGTGTTGTACCCAAATTACTAGGACAGAAGGTCAGGAATCCAAGACGATCTTCTCTAGCAAAACTCAACTTTTCACTTAAAGCGTTGATAGCCTAAAATTATACAGTAACATGACATGTTCAACATTCAAATGATATTAGATGCATCATTAAACAATGATATTTTTCCAAAATGTTATAATGCCGTATAGGCCTAGGGAGAATGAAAACTCCACTTTCTGGTAAATAAGCTAGATCAGTGGGATAATCTAATTCAATGTGGTGGCCTAGTTCAGATGAATAATCTAGTTCAATAGGATAAATTATTTTCATTAGTATAAAGTTTAACTAAGGGGGTGAGCCGTATCAACTGAATGACCTGGATCATCAATGGGTATGAGGTAGTTTCTTGTCCTATATCAATGAGTTCAGCTACTTCCTGAATGAATTTCAATGGGACCAGCTAGACTTAGTTCTATGATCAGTTACATGTAAATAGGCCTACTCTTTAATACCCACCTTGACTAATCTCTTATAAACAGCACCTAAATCGCCACCTTTCTGCATGGAAATGATTCTCAAATGATCTTCTTCATTGACCCAAACTAAGAAATTCTTCTCTTCATTAAAATAGATACCTCTTCCGGTTGGCCAGTCATTGTACCCTCCTGCAGCCTTCAAAAATCTGAAAACGAATCATAAAACTTGAATTTGGAAACACTGAAATTGATCAAAAGACTAGCCTTGCAAATGAACACATCTACAGAAAAAATCACATTAGTTGAAAATGCACTAGTAGAAGAGTTCCCTGAATTGTTGATCAGTTTCCAACCACACCCCAGACTACCAAGCGGCAACAAAATTTCAAAAGAAAGGGGCAAATGTTTACCTGTCATGATCATTAAACAAGAAATGATCTGCTGTTAGCTGGTCTTGAGTTTCTTTATTCATTCCGTCCAAAGGATGATATTTTCCCTTCAATTCATCACCTAGACTAGTTAAAGCATCAACAGAAACTTTTTCCATTTTTACTCGATCCTGTAAACAATAATTTAAACAATAAACATTTAAAGAATAAATTTTGATACATACTGAGACCTGATTTTGTGAGAACTCACCGTCATCTCGCACCTGGTGACGTTCTCAGTCATGTCGGCATTTGTAATTAAGCTTTCAGAAGTAGTTCAGAGCAAATCACATCGACCTTTCCCTCAAAATACGCATGAACAAATACGATAACCCAAAAATTGATGCTTAAATAATAACCTCAGATTTTTTCACTTAAACTTTTTTCTAGATTATGTCAAAATGGATAAAAAAAAAAATGGTGTTATTGGTATATAATAAACATTTGTACTAATTAAGATTGTACGTACCTCTTTAGTTAAAACAGGTGGGAAAGCAAATTCTTTATGACTTCTACCAACACGAATACGAGTAGAGACGATCATATTCCCTTCTGGATCGAGATCAGGGAAAGGAAGATTTTCAATATCTCCTAAATCAAAAGCTGGATGAGTAATAGTATCAGATGGCTTCAGTTTGTGGTATTCCTTAATAACTGGATCCAAAATATCGGCAAATACAGTATAAGATTCAGGGTCGGCTGCGTAGATTCCCACACCACTGTCTAGATTCATAACTCCTAGAAATGGAAATCCGTCATTGTAAGTTTTTACACATAATTTTAAAGATTTACAAGATCAATTGATTTTAACTTAAGTTCTCAAGATAGCCTATACCTATCTACCTTGGTCAAACCTCTTGCAAATGATCTTGAAAGACAATAGGTGATACTAGATTTTAAGATTTAAGATCGCCAATAGTGTTAAATCATTCGAAGACCTCCCTATTTGAAAAGCTGTTATAGGTTCTAATAACCGGATATATTGGTTTAATTCCATGTTTTAGTCTGAAATCGGAGGCAATTTTTAATTTTATTTACCGATACCAATTTTCCAAAATTGCTAAGGATGACCCGACTATCCAAAACCAAATCATTTGATCTTGTAAAAGTGTGATAATGTTAGTGTAAATTAGTGCAATGTTAGTATAAAACTTGAAATGAAGTAGAGTTTAACCTTGTAATAATGAGGAAGGATCATCAAATCGCCCTACTTGAAATATGGACGATGTTTTTCTCGTGTGGTTAAGATTATAGCATTTTGTGATCTCTCTTTCAAATTTCAACGTGATACAAACAGAATTATGTACTTTCAAATTCAGCTCTTAAAATATATTATTTGGAATTAAGTCACACATATTATTCATAAAAAAATTGCAAGTTCTTGCTACCATTGAAGATAAAATTAGATGAAATGAAATGGTTTTTTTTTCTACTCTTGTGCTCCAAAAGGAGAAGACTGTCGTTTGATGATGAATATTCTTCATTACAATTCCACGCTGATTGGCCAATAAAATACATTAAGATTGACAAATTTGCCCACCAAAACCAACTGCGACCATTCCAACTAAATGAAAAAACTATTGGAGCTCTTGCAGAATACTCATCATCACCATGATATGCCTATGAAAACCAACACCTATCTTGCAAATTGAGATGATGATATGAAAGTGATAAAAGCTAACCTGAATAAATACAGTCCATTAAAGTTGCACCATGACTAGTCTTCTTGTCCTTGAGTTTCTCCATCACATCTTTAGTGAAATATTTCTTCATCAAGGATTTACAGTTCTTAGCCTTAGAAACATGTTCATACATATCTTCTATAGACTCGGGTTTCCTACATTATAAACACATTTGTATGAAATTGTAAAATTTTGATTCGAGCATATCGAGGGAATCACAGAATGCCTATAGACTGTTGTTACATTCCAGAAGATAGCACCAAGTGACTATAAAACTTACGTGCTTCACGACAAGAAATAATACAATGCAAAAGCTTTGACTTTCTTTTTCATTAAAAATTAAAATGGAGAAATCTCAAAAGAGCACCGACCCCAAACACAAAGTACTAAACTAAATTGCTTTCATGATTAATTGCTTAATCTCAACCAGTATCTATAGTGTTAGAGATGTTCAGTGTCGTCGATGGGTTCCGTCACGTTACAATCATGCAAAGAATATAATCCCAAAGAACAACCATGAGCGACGTTTCAACGACTTGGATGGGTGAGCATGTCCGACATACCGCAGGACATCAAACTTACCATGAGAGTTCTTTCTCTTGTTTAATAATCTCTTTAACTCCATTGTACATCTCCGTAACAGCTTCTAATTCAGTTAATCCTAATCTTCTTTTATTGGACACATCGTAAACACCACCGACAGATTCTGTGTGTTCACCATGGATGCCTGGATTGCACAAGGTCAGTCACATGTATCAGCAAAGATAAGGCATGCAATATTTTTATGAACTACGTGTTAGAAAGGGGACCAGTTGAACCACTACGATCCGTGACTTGATCTTTGCATGAGATGATCCATATGGATCAGCTACGATTAGTCAGTGACTAGGTATATTAGTCAACATCTATGGACACGTCCACAAAACTAAACAAAATTTTTAAGCGGGAACATATTTTACAAACGAGATTTTTCAGTGTAAAATGCTGGATTATCTTACCTCTAGCTTGTAAATTATATTTGTCACACACTTCTTTAAAGTTGGGTTGAGCAGCTAGATTGGGGATCTTAACATGTACACTAGCTCTTAGAGTGGTACCAAGATTGGTTGGACAGAACGTCAAGAAACCAAGTCTGTCATTCCTAGCAAACGTCAATTTCTTTTCCAATGCTTTAATTGCCTAAAATTATGAAATGAATTATGAGAATGAAGCCTTTTGATCTCAATACCAGGAAAGGATTAGCAGAAAACATGTCGGTTCGAAACATCACTTAAGGAAAGTAAAGTACAAAATAAAGACAACATTATCTTGAAGTGTATACGCTTCAAATGATACATTTTGTGATACACCATTGCGTATTAAGGTAAATAGTATGCAAGACTTAACAAAATAATTTCGTTTTTCTACGACAAAAAATATTTTGCATTGACTGCTTCCCCATTATATAGTTATCATCAAATCAAGATCTTACCGTAACAAGACGTTTATAAACAGCCCCTAAATCGCCACCTTTCTGCATGGAAATGATTCTCAAATGATCTTCTTCATTGACCCAAACTAAGAAATTCTTCTCTTCATTAAAATAGATACCTCTTCCGGTTGGCCAGTCATTGTACCCTCCTGCAGCTCTCAAGAATCTAAAAAGATGTTATGAATCCAAAATTTCAACTTTATCTTGGCCAGCTGGTAGCCCATCCGTAAAACGGCTATGCTAAGAAGAAACCAATTGAGGTGATTTGGTCATGCTTATTGACAAGAATCACCGGCGGACGTGTAGAAAGTATGGTATGTATTTCTACCTGATTTCTCTTTGAATTCGGGTGATGCAAAAGGAATTATCTTTTGTTAAAGTAACATCTGAAAGCATCTATAATAAGATTATCACATAGCTTACCTATCATGATCATTGAACAAGAAATGATCCTCAGTGAGTTGTTTCTGAGTATCGGCGTCCATACCCTCTAATGGATGATAAGATCCTTTTAGTCCTTCTGGTAAACCATCAAATGCTTCAGTCGTTTTCTTCTCCATATCCTCTCTTTGCTATAAAGATAAGACCTATCAATGTTAGAGAATACTCAAGACCTATCAGTACTGATAAATACTCAGAGACCTGTCCAGAGGCAGACATTGGTATAAAAAAACAATGGACCATACAATATTTGGCTTTTGACCAAGGTGTTCCGGTCATGTTAAGGAGACCATTTATCGCAAGCTAGTAACTAAAATCTTTTCTTTAAAATGTTAGACAGTAGACGTTGTGTCGTCGGTAGATTACAAAAATAGACTGACCTCTTTGGTAAGTATGGGTGGGAATCCAAAGTTATCATGAGATCGTCCTACTCGTACTCTGGTAGACACAACAAACTTTCCCTCGGGATCTAGATCTTCAAATTTTAGTTTTTCTGGATCACCAAGATCACAGGCTGGGTGTTTGATTGCTTTATTGTCTGGAATTTTGTGGTAGTCCTTAATGACTGGGTCTAATGCATCAGCAAACACAGTGTAGGCTTCAGGATCACAAGCATAGATACCGACACCACTTTCCAGATTTTCAACTCCTGAAACAAAAATATTTTTCAACATTGATTGACATTCTATTTTAATGCATTCCTCGGTTTGACTACATTAAGATGAATAAGGTTCTATGTAAAGATGTTCCTAGGTTTAGCTCTTATCTCGTATTTGTATAGGTTGATAGATTTGACTATATTTCAATACATTGGTAGGTTTGACTTTTATTTGCGAATTACTGTTTTTGGCTGTACATAATGATGTATTTCTAGGTTTGGCTATATTTCAGTGTTTGACTAGGTTTAGCTATATATTATTTTACTGCTGTGTTTGACTATATATTTTAATGTAGATCTATAGCTTGGTTGAAATATTCCAACATGATTCAAGGTTTGGCTTTATTCACATATTGCTAAAATTAGCCAAGTTTTGCTTTATTCGATGTATTTCTTGCTTTTGGCTTTATTCAATATATTGCTTGGTTTAGTTATATATAGAAGTATTTCTAGAGTTGACATTATTCAATGTATTGCTAGGTTTAGTTATATATAGAAGTATTTCTAGGGTTGACTTTATTAAATATATTGCTAGGTTTAGTTATATATAGAAGTATTTCTAGGTTTGGCTTTATTCAATATATTGCTAGGTTTAGTTATATATAGAAGTATTTATAGGTTTGGCTTTATTCAATATATTGCTAGGTTTAGTTATATATAGAAGTATTTCTAGGTTTGGCTTTATTCAATATATTGCTAGGTTTAGTTATATAGAAGTATTTCTAGGGTTGGTTTTATTAAATGTATTGCTAGGTTTAGTTATATATAGAAGTATTTCTAGGGTTGGCTTTATTCAATATATTGCTAGGTTTAGTTATATATAGAAGTATTTCTAGGGTTGGCTTCATTAAATGTATTGCTAGGTTTAGTTATATATAGAAGTATTTCTAGGGTTGGCTTTATTCAATGTATTGCTAGGTTTAGTTATATATAGTGGCTTTATTCAATGTATTGCTAGGTTTAGTTATATATAGAAGTATTTCTAGGGTTGGCTTTATTCAAGATATTGCTAGGTTTAGTTAAGTTTCTAAAGAAGTATTTCTAGGTTTGGTTTTATTCAATATATTGCTAGGTTTAGTTATATATAGAAGTATTTCTAGGGTTGGCTTTATTCAATGTATTGCTAGGTTTAGTTATATATAGTGGCTTTATTCAATGTATTGCTAGGTTTAGTTATATATAGAAGTATTTCTAGGGTTGACTTTATTCAATGTATTGCTAGGTTTAGTTATATATAGAAGTATTTCTAGGGTTGACTTTATTCAATGTATTGCTAGGTTTAGTTATATATAGAAGTATTTCTAGGGTTGACTTTATTCAATGTATTGCTAGGTTTAGATATATATATTTATTCAATGTTTAATGCTTAATTTGTACTATTTTGAAGTATTGCTAGGTTTGGTTATGTATTTCCAGATTTAGATATTTACAAGTATCGATATGTTTGATTCTGTTATACATTATGGCTAGATTGAAATAGCTTTTCTCGTTATTGAGGATTTGTTTCAATGAAAAAATCATTAAATCGAAATTCTTTGATCTGATAATGTATTTCCAAGCGAGCATTCCCCTTTTCAGTAATGATCAATATCATCAATATATTTTTTCTGTGAAAATCGTTATCACTAACACACACGATGTGAAATGTTTTGAAAAATAAAATATAAAATGTAAAAATCTGATAATAAAGACATAGTTCTGTGTTATTTTATCACGAGTCATCAATCAACACTCAACTAAACTATCTGTTTACGTCTCATAAAGTTAGTTCTTCGTTATGTCTACTGTGTGAATTGGCGAATTGAGCCAAAATAACTTCTCGTCTGCGGTCGACATGGAATCAGGCATGAAAAAGAGAAAACTAATGATGCCAAGAAAACAAAAGAGTTGTGCAATAACGGTAACCATTTTGATTTCATTCTTTTGTTGTTTTCTTAAGATGTTGGTTGTTCCAAGTGCACCAGTTGAGTCTTAATCTAACTATCTAGCCGGCACTTTTATTTCAGCCAGAATGCATGGTGACAAAAATTACTTTGCAATAATGACTACACATGTTTTCCTGTATAATATACCAAAAGAAACCTATTGAATAACGGTTTGATAATCTATAAAACTTGACGAGAAAACCCCAGTACAATCCAATAAATGTTAACTAACAACCGCCAACGTTCCAATATCAATGTTAGTTAAGTCAGGTTACAGAGAAATATAACAAGCTTTAAAACAAGGAAGGTAACTCTCTACACTTTAAGTTCTACACCTGTTGACTTGTTCATCTTTATCAAATAAACAATGTAATAAAAATAAGAAATAGATTAAGGTTTTAACGTAAAAATTAACTTGTATGGTAGGCCTAGGTATGAATGAAATGCAATACTGAGATTTTTCAGAAACCTCATGCAGATATTCCAAAAGATATGATAGGCTACTGATGTGCTCATTTGTCATTTGCTCAGGGTTGCTTGAGGTCTAGGGTTCGATCCCAGTATTTGTCTAAATGATATTTTTAAAATACGCTCCCCGTCAGTGATGACCTTCGAATTGGAAATAGGCCGAGGCCCTGTCTGTTATAAGCTGTTCAGATCCTTCGACAGTTAGAAATCGAAAAACGTAGGCTAAGGCCGCTGTTCGGCATAACTTTCCTCATTGCACACTACAATGCATGGCCGTCCCCATTAGCCCAACTGGTGTAGAATATATAGACACAGCTTTATGGAACAACAATCACTGGTTAAAGTTTTATGCAACGTTTCGACGTGTTTCCCCCGTCCAGCCCAACTGGTGTAGAATAGTAGGACGTAAAAAGTCCATTCAATTCATGACAACTGCAACGTATCCGATGTGATATTGTTAATATCTAGATCACCTTGATTCAATGAATCATGAAGCCCACCTCTTCACCCCTGATCGTTACTGTGTATCTTTAAAGCGGTCGAGGTGCCGACCTAGGGTAATTGATATTAAAGTACATAATAAAGATAACACACGTTTTACACTTATTTTAATTAGAACATTGATCAAATATTTTACCTATTTTATACCATGATAATTATCTTCAAACTTAGCCAAGAAACTTTTAACATTCTACATTCCTTTCATATTTTTCTACCTATTTTAGTACAATAAGAAGTAAGAAAACTATCTGTGCACGGCTTCATAGAATGATAGGGGACCTCAGTTCGATCGATATGAAAGTAAATTAACTGCTTACAGTGGGAGCAAGTAGATGATCGTAGATCCCGACCGTATGGATCGCATTTGCTCGAATGTACGCGGGCTATAGTTACTACAAGTTGCTAGCAGTCACTGAAAATCCAGTTGCTCAAAGATGCTGCAAGGTTGACACGACTCTCCCTTTAATATTGAGATAGCTAGTGCATGAGAACTTGTTCAAACAATCTCCCAATTAAATGGAATATCAAAAGATCAATAAAAAACTGCACAAGTCGATTGACTTTTCGCTTCAAAGAATGTCTTAAGATTCATGTTCCTAGTGCTGAAGATGAATATTAATTTCTCCAGTCTGTAATGATACTAATAAAAACATCAGTACTAATAAAGCTTTTAATACCATCAGACTTGTTGTGATATGTGGGGAATAATAATAAGGCTTATTGATCTATTCAATACAAAACTAGATGTAAACGTTCTCACATTCTTGCCATTTTTAGAATATTGTTTCATAGTCAAAGTTCATGATGATCACGAAGAATTTGTACAAATTAAGTGCAAAGTAAGGTAGATAAAGTTATACTCTGTGGCGCCCATTGAAAAGGTAATCGCAGAAGAAGACACCAACCCTAAAAGTTCAAGACTATACAGGGAGAGCTTTTGGATGAACCAACTAAAAACTATTTCGCCCTGTGGACTAAATATACAGTTTGATTCTCAAATAATCCCATTTGTTGCTCCATTCAATAACATTTCTTGCCAAGCATCCCGAATTATCAAAAGATACTACACAGAGTTACAAAATAAATTTCCCACTATTTTTTACAAAAAATTAGTCATAGCTTATTCGAAAAATAAAAATCTACAGGATATAGTTGTTCGTGGTCGACCGATGATGTACAGTGATCTAATAGAATTAAATATTCTCATTTTCATTGTCTTTGTACTTTATAGTATATAATAGTCTAAAACAATTTACTTTCTATACCTGCAGCCATTAATCGCTTTTCTTCATTATTCCAGAAAATTTGAAGCAGTCAATGTAGATTATAAGTATTATGAATTTCTTTATTAGGTCCAAGAAGATTTATAGGATAACCGTTATGATCATCTTTGATTTAGTTCATTGCATATTAGCATCACAATTATTGTAAACATAACTTTAACTCTGTGCCAGTGCCTTATATTGAATAGTAACTGGTTACTCTTTAATCACCCTAATCTCTAAAGGAAAATGGTATTGTGCCAAGTCAAAACATACAAAATACCTAAGCTCAATCTGATTGTAATAAAGATCTACGACATTTAGTTTTGTGCTATTTTTTCTGAGGGTGAGTTCACTTGTCAATCACAATCTGGCGAAATCATTATGCAACATGTTGTATGTCATTGATTCAACCATATCTAGCATCCTGTTTAAACGCCTTTGAATGAACAGTATTTAATGAAGAAATTTCGTAATATCACAGATTGCAGGAGAGGTAACCCACAAAAAGTCTTTAAAAAACATCTAGAATAGAATTGCATTTTACTAGAATTGTTCTTGTCTCCTTAGCCCTTACATCTAGTATACAGAGTATCAGTAAATATAATACAGACCACTTTCTCAGATTGAAGTTTGAACTTTGTTTATAAAAAATACTGTACAAAATGATAGTAGAATCAGATGTTAATGTGATAAAATTGAGATTTATTCTAACATGATGAGGTAATAGGTGGGTGGTACCGAGAACTGTCAATTTAAAGGTGCCAAGAAATTATACAATATATTATCAAGTTCTAGACATAATAAATATGTTACAATATGTGTCAGTCCTTCT